CATGTCATCTCAAAAGTGAAGTGAAATGAAACCTTAATTTACAAATCCAAGGGGACCAGTACTGAATTGGAATATAGATGTGGGGGGGGGCAGTGAAAGTAATTGATTATAGTCAAATAAAAAAGCATCTTATCTAGTATAGCATGTCAGGGATAGTCCTATACGTCCTGAAGTGTTTGAATTTAAATAGTCCTGTCTGTTCTGAGTCTTTATCCTACATAATACTACTGAGAACTATTACTTACCTATTAAAGACAGCTCTCCATGTTTAAGTATTAACACTAGGATATAACATTGCAGTTGTTTAAACCATTGAAACTAAATGACAGATTAATATAGACTTAAATTTGAAATTACACAGAAGTGGCCATATATGTATTTCAGGTTGATGTTGTGTCTAAACGAAGTTTATGAAAGATAGTGTTAAACATCATTCACATGCTCCAGAGTCTGCTGGCCAACTTTCGTGAAACTACAATACGATTTTTAAAAGTATTTTAAGTACTGTGGGATGGGGGGAAACTCTTTCAAAACAGTTCAAACTCTGGAACTGGCTGCATTTAAACTGGTATTGAATGCACAAAGTAATCCATTATAGAAATCTTGTCATGTACTTATGACAAAGCCTTCTGAAATGCTTTATCTGTAAAATACAAGCCATATTTCAGACAGTGAAGGGAAATCTTTTTAAATATTAAGCATCACAGAAGTGAGAGGTGGACTAAAACTGGAGAATGGGCCTTCTCCGTCTTCCTGTCAGTGCAACATTTTTCCCCTGTTATAACTAGTAAAGATCTCCTGGATTTTTTGCTGTCTTTCTTGCACTTATATTTGCAATAAAGCAAATTGAATACATACTCTAACTAGATCTGCCGTCTGTCAGACTTTATCTACGAATGAGAACTATGAGGAAGGGGCAAAGAGTCCCAAAAGTATAGTCTGCCTGCCTGCCCGCCTTTTTTTTTTTTTAATTTTTGGGGGGTAGGTAGTTAACCACCACCTGATGAATTAAGTACATACAGCTTCTGTAATTTGATGGCAGTAGGAGTTACTTAAGAGAAATCTAATATTTATCAGTTGGACTTTGCTGTTTCAACAGATTTTCTTCAAAATGAGGTGTTACAGTTTCTAGTTTTAATGGTTAGTTATCTTTTCCTGGCTCATTACATTTTTTTTAGAGCCATTCTGCAATTTCAAAATGTATAAATGAATTTGTTGGCTCTTACGCCTATCTTGCACTGTTCTGTGAGATGATCTAAACCAGTGGTTCTTAAACTTTTTTGTACCGGGACCCATTTGTAAATATTGATGGCCAGTCCCAACCCAGTGCTCCTTACCCTAGCCCCCCTGTGTGTGGAGCAGGGGCTGGATGTGGGGGCAGGGGAGGCCCTAAGCAGCCCCTTGCAGACTGGAGCTCTGCAAGCCTGCAAGGGAAAGCCACAGTTTCCCATGTTTTTCTCCTTTAAAGGAGAATCCACTTTAGAAATGGATCAACAAACTTTAAAAGTTTGTTCGTGACCCTTTCATGTATTCTTGTGGCCTGCTTTTGGGTCATGACCCATGGGTTGAGAAACACTGATCTAGATGGCTCTGGGCATTCTCTGCTGTTCCTCACTGTTATTGAAGAGCCTCCCAAACCTTTTATGCAACTTCAAGTAATTAACTTTAAGGTCTGCTCAAAGGTAAATGAGTGGTGTTTTGTTATTCTAAAATGGGAATAGAGGAAAGAAGAGGTAGATGGGACTGCTCTCAAAATAGAAGTTATTTTTGATAAACAAATTTCAGTGAGGTCTGAATGCCTTGTATGATTAAGTACGTAGTTTACAAAATTGGGACTCTGTGGTCAGTTCCATACAAGCTTTCCCACACTATCAATGGGCACAAAAGCCAGACTGGCTGCCACTCAGGGCTGAGACAACAGTGGTCTCCATGTCCACTCCTCCATGAAGCATTTGCGGTGGCATCTTCATGAGATGGTAATTGTTGTCTAGAATTGGGTCTAAAATACCAGTTCTTTCCACATAAGCTCTGCAATATTAAATTTTCATGCAGCACAAGTCATGATAATTGAACACCATTTCTAGTCTGGTAACTAAGCCTCATTCTATAAAAGCTGTTTTTACACGGGTATTAGGAACAGTAAAGGAGTATTGACTACGTTCTTCCTAATATCACAGGATATTGCTAAACAGTATTAAAAGTTAAACAGCTGTTTTGCAAGAGTAGAATGTCACCAGTGACTGACAGGAGAAAGATTCAGTCTTATTACCCATCCGTGAAGCCACAGAGTCTTTCAGAGTTTCCCAAAGTCAAAGGAACAGTAACAATTGTACTTCACATTTGTAGTTTACTTTTTTTATTCTGTACTCTGCAGTAGAAGTAGGGAGATTGTTTTTGCCAGATTGGTTACTCTGCTCATTCAGGAGTTTTTACTCTAATTTAATATAAAAGCAACATCACCAAGTTATATAGCATTGGTATCAGAGATGCCTACTTTGAGTACAGCTCAGCTATTTCAGATATAGATCAAGCTGCAGAGAATGAATCGGACTGCTAAAAGTTTTTAATCGGCTCAGTTGTTTAGTGCTAGCACAACATACAGTGAGCTATAGGATTCCAGACGTGGTGAGAGTAAAATGCATGTCCTGCAAATCCTGCCATGTCTCCCCACGCACAAAGCCTCTTCCTTCTAGCTAGGTCATATTCTTGCATACTGGAAAGAACGTAACAAATCTAAGCCCACCAAGTAATCTCAACAGGGGACCTGTTTATAGAACTGGGACAGCATGGTTAACTGAATGCAAACTTTCCCCCACCTATCAGTGGGCCCCAAAACGGAGCAGATCTCCACTTCAGGGTTGAGAAGTGTATCCACATCCACTCATTCCTGGTGCATTGTGGGAGTTTGGCTACTTTTGTATGTTAAAACATCAACCTTAAAATCAAGCATCTGTCATGTAGAAACTGGAACTTTGTGCTATTGGCAGTGGCATCTCTTTCCCAGAGGTTCTGGACAGGCCCGCCCCATCGTACACAATCCTGGGATGTTACTTTGAGAATTGAGGTTCACAGAAAAGTATTATTCTCTAAGCCTTATGCAACTAAAGCTTTTCTGGGCTTCTAGAGTATTTCTTATAAGTGGCATATACAAAACATTAGATATGGCAGTTTGGAATTGTGCCAGCAGTAGTCCCTTAAAATGGAAATATAACTCAAAAGCTCTCCAATACACATACCATTATCCTTTCCCTCAAGCAGGTAACTTGTGTATGTGTTCATGCCTCCGTTTATCTTCTAACGTTTTCTCAAAGTGCTACCACCCGTGTTATGGCAGGTCACCTTTTAGGCCCAACATCATTCAAAGGCTCTTAATTATCTTTATTACCTTGACTGTTTCTAATGGCACTGTGACCAAGTGCCAGGAAGCTTGCAGAGGAAGTTTCTGCTGACTTGTTCATTAAAACCAGATTGGAAAAGAATTTCAATTTTGGCAATTCTTTGAATCCAGATGTTAGTGAATCTGTTCTTGCTTTTCTAGGTGTACATAACGTGACAGCACTGGGTAACCTGATAACTTGGCAGAAAGTGGATTATGACTTCAGTTACCACCAGATGGAATTCCCATGCAATATTAACGTACTTATCACTTCAGAGGGCAGATCATTCCTACCGGTATGGCAGGGTTTTCTTGAATTGGGAGGGAGGCAGTGTAATTAGTTGATAGCCACTTAATGAATACAGTGTGCGCCATTCCAGGAACATGTGAAATCAAGGAAACAATTTTGCTATTGCGAGAGGGATGGGCAGGTTGGTGACACTTGTTACTACCTTCCAGCAAGTGCACCTAGAAGAGTTGTATCTAGTGCCTATACCCTGTCTAGAGTTATTCAGCCAAAGGAAAACCCAGAGAATGACTTCTGTCCATTAGAGAAACTGACTTTTCCCCACTGTAGGAGTGGCAGCAAGATGTCTTTAAATGCTTTGTTCTAGCTGTTACTAATAATGGAAAAAGTCTGCAGATATAGAAACACCATAGAAGTGTTATTCCAATACAATTTTCCCTTACTGTTTGAGATGCTAGATAGTGCAAGGAGAAACAGATCTTGTATCCCTGTTAAAGAAAAAAAGAAAACACACGTAGACTGGCCTACATTAACACGTTAGGTTATGCGAATGCACTGTTCCTTGGATGTTTGAACGAGTCTTCCAAGGTATTAATTTTTGTCCTCCTTTACATGAGCCTTTGCTCCGTTGCCGATCAACTTATGATAATTCCTGAGTGTTGGCTAAGAAGGGATTCTAAAACAAAAATAAAAAGTGAAGCTTTCATTCACTTATTTCACAAGGGAAATATTTTTGTTCATGCTAAACAGCAAACTCTTTTCCAGAACTGTACATAATATTATCAAAAAACCTCCACTGTTGCACAAAAGTCTTATGTGAGTCTTGCTGGAATGGGACAGATGTGACTAGAGATTATATTTACCCCTTTTTTTTTTGTTTCTTCAGTCAGATTGCCAGGTCCACCTACAACCACAAATAATTCCACCAAATATGGAGGAGTATATGAACAGCCTCCTTACAGCCGTGCTGCCATCTGTATTGAACAAATTCCGCACCTATCTAAGCTTGTTGAGGCTGCTGGATTATAGCATATCTGACGAAGTGACCAAGGTATGACAGACTGTAAAGGCTGGTGGAGCTGAAGTTTTACTTTATCTGTAACTGCTTACCTCAAACTGTTTAGACTCCCATGAGAGCTACAGGGAGCACTTCTTGTCAAGGGCAGAAACCAACCTAGGGCAAGAACTGCTTGTCCTCAGAGCACCCTTAGCAAAGGCACCAGCCTGTAAATTGGTTCATTTTAAAACTTTTCACTATTTGAAAGATTAGACAGACACTTGATATCAAGACACTTGGTACTGAAGCAGGGGGACTTGCCTCAGTTTCTCTGCTTTGGACACAAGCAGCTGAGTAGCTTAGAAAATGGGGCCAATCTCTGCCTAGAACTATACAAATATTTACAGATATTTAAGGTGGAATTGCAGACCCTCTGATACATAGGATTAGGGTTTAGAATAGCCTTGACGAACTGGATAAATGGTTCAGAAGTAATGGAATGAAATTCAATAAGGACAAAGTACAAAGGTCTGCACTTGAGGTAGAAAAAAAATCATATGCACAAATAGGGACTGCAGAGCAGCTGGCTAGGCTGCAGTCCTGCCAAAAAGGACACAGGAGTTATGGTGGATCCTCCACTCCCCTTTCCCCTCCCCAGATTTATCGGCCAGATGCTGCTTTCCAAGCTGCTGGGCTGTATTCCTGGCCATGAGCATGCTGCGAGTGCACACATGCACATGGCATTTATCGGTGACATTATCAGCTACACTGGCCAAAGAAAGCCAGTTGCCAGTCATGTCAATTTTCCTTTTATCGGTGCCGATCTGATATGGACTGATATGGCAATACCCTATATTCTGTGGCAGCAGGGGGCAGGAGAAGGAGCAATGGACTTAATTGCAGCAAGGGAAATTTTAGTTGGAGAATAAGAAAAACTCTCCCACTACAAGGGAGCTTTGAAACAAGCGGTCCAGAGGGGTTGTAGAATCTCCATCCTCGGAAGCATTGAAGAGCAGGTTAAAGTAACACTTTGTTGGGGTGCTTTGGAAAAAAAGTGATTCTGCCTTGAGCAGGGGCTTGATTATCACCATTTGTAAACCCAAATTACTTAACGAATTGAATTTATCTAGGCAGTTGAGGAAGACTTTGTAGAAATGCGCAAGAATGACCCTGAGAGTATAACAGCTGATGATCTCCATCGAACTCTGCTTATAGCAAGGTGAGCACCATTATTTTTTGATGACTGAAACCCTAATAGGTCTTAGTTTCCTGTTACTCTCTGTCTGCCACTTGTCCAAGTCTTAGCACCTGTAGAGGACATGCATTCCTTCAAGAATATTGTCCTGGCTCCATAAGAGATACCGTTTCATATCCACATATCCATCTAAACAGATGCCCTGGTTTGTTCCAGCACTTAATTGGAAAGCTGAAATATGGCCGTGGAAGGATTTGCAAAAATGCCTTCCTCAACCTTGTGCTAGTTTTAAGCTCAAGAAGGTTTTGTGAAGCATGGACAACTGGAGGACATAGTTGAGACATCACTGCTGACAGCTGTTTGGTTCTGTAACTTCCTGCTGCATTGTTTCTTCTTTGAAGCTTTGCCAAAAAAATAAAAAAAAGGCAGGTGTTTATATAACTTATGTTTAACTCAACTGTTCTTGCTTTCCTAGATTTCTCTCTCTCAGCGCTGGGCAGACAACACTGTCAAGAGAGAGGTGGTTAAGAGCAAAGCAACTCGAGGCATTACGTAAAGCCAGGCTCCAGCAACAAAAATGTGTCAATGGCAATGAACTTTAATTCCTTACTACTATTTTGCTTATGTGACTATGAAATGTTTGTCTAATCCTAGGTTGAGGCAGCAATCAGATTGGGATACTGTTTATACAAGTTTTTTTTGTAGATAATTTATACCAAAAATTATGGACACTTCTTACCCTTGAAGCCTGAACACGCTTAGTTTATATGGTGTTCAGTAAGTTAATACCTAACTTACTGATTTTATGAACCTTTTTGGAGCTTGTTTTGTAATTAAGAATTGGTAACAATGAGCAAATTGTTTGATATTAAAGGTTTAATACAGAAAACATTGTGTAAACTCAGTTCCTTAAACTGTGTAAATTAAGCTTGATTACCAGAGAACTGCAGGCAGAGCTTAGTAGATGAAGAACTTGACTTTTTCTTTCATGGAAACAAGTGAAATGTTAAAAGGAATTTTTAGGACAAAGAACTTTCATTTTCCAGAGGTGCAGAGATTGCAGGCTTTTCCAGGAAGGAAGTGCAAAGCTTATGCCAAGGGTGCTGTATCAACACATTTAAAGCTCATTAGCAGGGATCCGGATTTTCCATTCATAACAGCAAAACATGGTAAAACCTGGATTTTCTCCTTTAAAGGAGAGAAGTGAAGGTTAAGGCAGGTTTCTCCTTGCAGGCTGACAGTTCCAGTTCTGCACACATTCCATGGCTGCCCTGCCCAGCCTCCCTGCACTTAAAAAATAATTAAATGCCCTGGCTGTAGCAGCAATCAGGGGCTCATGGCAGAGCTGCCCTGCCCAGTGTAAGGCAGTGGGGATTGCCCCCTGCCTGACACCCACCCAGCAGCTGTCCTGTAGCACAGCTTGGCAGGGTGCCACAAAGCAGTGGGGGAGGACAGCTGCAGCTGGACCCATGTCCTGGTGAGCAAAGGAGACAGGGAGAGCTCTGGTTTTCCATGATAAAAACCCCCAAACTCAATGCCAAAATGTTTAGGTATTTAAAATGTGTTTTATCATAGTGACTCAGGTACTGGTAGGCTTTCAAATTGCATTAAAATTGTAAAAAGCAAATCTGAAAGCCTACCAGTGCCTGAATCACTAATATATATAGTGACACTTCATTTTAATTACAGATTTGGGGGGGCAGGTGTAAATCAGAGAATTTGTGATTTTTAAATAGAGAAAACCAGGATCCCTGTGCTTTAGTTAACTGTATTGTAAGATACCTTCTAAAGTGGAAGTGTTACTGAGCAGCAACCTCTTTCTGCTCCAGATAAGTGTACTAAAGCACATAGTATCGTTGTTCTAAATGTAGCTACAAGAATAAAACAGATGGAAGTTCCATCTCAGTCCAGCAGAAACTAACAGGGCATTTTTACACATGTAAGCAGTGTAGCGCTGAGCGCTTTGAAAAGCACCCGGTGCTGTGAAGCTTGCAATTGTGTAAGTGACGAAATGCACATCAGCGCGCTTTTGAACTAACACACATTGGAGGTGCTCTAGTTCAAAAGCGCACCACCGCCATTTGCTGCACACCAATACGTATTTCACCACTCACACAACCGCATGCAGCACAACGCAGTTCACCTCAGCTCACGTGCGGAGCAGACTCAATTAATCAAGTCCGCTCCGAAGCAGTCGATCTCCAGTGCATCGCAGGAAAACAGAAGTGCGCATATAAATGCCCATAGTTCCAAATCATATATCACCAATTCCATGTGAACTAGCCCCATTGTTATTTGTGACTTGCAACCATCAGCCTTTATTCTCCCACTGCTGAAGTGTTTAAAGCAAACAGTACACATACACATACTCCATTAGTGCCATCTTCCATGAAAACTGAAAAAACAGGATTCAAAATAAAATCCTCTTTAGCAAGTTGGTGCAGCAGCTACTCAAACCCACTTCAGTTAGATTCTCATTACAAAAACTTAAAATTTCACATGGATGAACTGAAATTCATAAAAGTGACCAGAGATGTGTGGAAGATTTACAGTCTGTGCCTTTTTATTCACAATGGTAACTGGATTAGAAGTAAATGGGCATATTACTGGCCTCAGAAGCAGACAGGCAGTCATCACTGTGGTAAGTGAAAGCCTCAACATGAGAGTTGGAACAGGTGGGTCTGTTTTGGTTTTTTTTAATTACAAAGACAAGTGCCTACCGCTCTTCCATCATGAAAAGTTGGAGACATGAAGCTGCCAAAACTCTAACAAGTAAAAGCAGGTGGGGTTTTTCTGGGAACTCTCCCATTTCCCCAAATTACTTTTTGAAGAAGTTGTAGATAGCGATATATTACAACAGGCTCTAACAAACAGAAAACAAATGTCCCTTTCCCAAGGAAGTTAAACTAAACAGTCTGAAAACTGCAAACAAACAATTCATCAAATGTACATCACTGTATTAATGTTACTTCCTCTTCATTCTATGTACCAAGCACATGGCGGGAACATCCTGACATCATTTTCCATTGTGTCTTGCTTTGGTTTTAGTGACAGTCATTTATTCAAATGCTTCAGGGAAATACAGGACCTGGACAGGCAGAGCAAAGCAGCAATTCACAGATTTCAAGGCCAGAAGAGCCCATTGGATCATTTAGTTTGACCCGTTTAATAAGGACCCAAAAATTTAATACAGTAATGCTTTCATGGAGCCAAAATAATTTGGTCTGGCTAACGTTTATCCTCCAGAAAAGGCAGATTTTTTACTTTGAAAATTTTACTTTTCAAAGTAAAATTTCAAGGAGACTGAATTTACCATGTTAGAAGAATTTTTTCTAAAATGTCTTTCTGAATATTTTTGAGATCCAAAGCATTTGCTGCAGCAAAGACTAGTTAGGGGGAGAGGGGCAAAAAGCAGAATTAAAAAACAACAACAACAAAACCCTTACCTTTATGTTCCTTGACTTTGGGCCAGGTGGGGGCCCAAATAGTTTTCTTAAGAGAAGTGAAGTTCCCTTGTCCTTCCTTTTCACATGAGGGACCGGAAGGCCTCCTTGGATTCAGATTTTTTTTTTTTTTATTAAAATATTTCTCATGTACATCCCTCACATTAAAATACAATGGTATTTTATTTTTAAATATAGGTCACAAATTTGTATAGACACACCCCAGAAAAAAAAAAATAGAAGCCACATTACTTTAGTAAAATAAATAACAAAATTGAAACGGTTTATCAAAGTTTCAGACAGACGATCAGGTTTAGTTGATAATCACTTCAATTACACTAGAGAGGTTCTAAGACACTGTAAAACCATTATGACACTTGCTAATTTCTTAGAACACCACGTGCAGTCTATCTACAGTACAGGTACGAAAACACAAGAGGCACTGGCTCTTATAACGGTGGTGGTTATAGTTATGAACCACAGTATAGCAAGATCCTGCTTTATACGATCTTTTATATAGATGTCCTACAACAGCATGGCAAGGCCAATTCTGGGAAAATTAAATAACCTGAAGACATCCTCACACGTACATATATATATATATATATATATATATATATATATATATATATATATATATATAGAGATTTATCCCTGCAAATATCACAACGGCTGAATTGGTTTGAATTGAAAAGGAACCATTTTTGACACACACACTGTATACGCTGATCTTAAAATCAGCAGTACGGTTTCGTGAATGAATACATGTTCTGTTCTGCTGGCTTAATCGCTTGGCGCTTGTGTCCAGGCTGCAGTTAGAATATCTAATCGAATGTCACCGTGACGTGACTGAACCAATGGGCAGTAATTTCTGGATATATTAGGACTTGGTTTGTTTTATCCTGTTACATAGGTCAGGAACTAAGGTTACAGAGTAAGGAACTAGTTCAAAAGGAGAAACAACATACTTTTAACACCAGCAAGATAATTAAAAGGACATTAGCTCCCACTGGCTTTTAACAATAAAAATCTACAAACCCTAAGAAGTTGCCTTGCAGGATCTTTGATATTATAAATGTCTCTAAGATGTTTTATCCTTTAACTGGGATGGAAAAGGAAAGGGGGTGAGAGGAGAGTCTAAATTCCTAACAATTCCCCTAAATGTATGAAATGAATTGATTCCCACTGTAGAGACACCCTTTCTTGGTGACTGTGTCTAGAACATCAAATGGTAACAAAAAAACCTAATCTAAAAATAAATAGACTAAAAGTCATGTCAGTAAATTATTTTGCTGGTGCAGTGCAGGGTAGGTAAGGTAACACGTGCAGTACCAGCCCCTTTGATACAAATATTCCACATACATCAGAACACCTACAAAACTGTCCCAAGAAGGTAACTGTGCAATATATTTAAATGAACAGCGTGCTTGTCGAATCCCAGTGTCGAGGCTACCTGTTAAGTATCGTTTGCCTTTCTATCAGCTCAGCAGCCCAAGGAAATTCTGAAACCTGCTCAGAACCAATTCAACTGGCATCATACACACACACACCCCCTACCTCCTGTAAACATAATTGGTATTTTTGATCCCAATATTCAGTGGCAGTTAAAAAGGGGGATTCTGATGTGAATTCCTGTTTATCATATACAAGCCACAAGTGTACTTCCCAAGTTCAAAACTAAATCTGAATTATTCGTGTCTGGCATTGTGTAAACATTTCTTTCAGTTCATTTGGTTGTACTTCATTTCCACCCACTGGTTCTGCAGGGCTTTTCTGCACCTTTGCCACTGCAAAATTTATCCCTTGGGTCAATCCAGCCTGTGTAATACTAGCGACTTGGACCATAGAGCTGCGGATTTTAGCAAAGGGAGACACGGCTCTGCTGCTGCTACTGTCTGCTGGAGAAGGAGTTGTGTTAAGTCCCGTTTCAAGAATGCTGGATGCAGATCCTGGGCTCTTATGAGATTTATTGGAGTAAGTCTCCTCAACAGCCAAGAGCTGAGAGCCTGACTCGGAAAACAGCCCATCCAGTTGAGATGGCCTGGAAGGGGTGTGTCTGTTCGTTTCCGACTGTGTTTCTGCTTCCTTGGAAGCATTATTGCTGCTTTGATCTGCTTCTTGGCGGGGTTGTCGAGAGCCGCTCTCTACCTCTGAAGCTTCTGTCATCTGGTTTTGAGCATCTTGTACAAATCTGTGGCAATACACGTCGATGGGTTTAGAGAACTCCATCTCCATACTGTCAGAAGGCGTAGGTCTGTCTTCACATCCAGGCCTGCTCTCTCGGGTGACGTGGATTTCAGAAGGAATGTGAATGCTAATGCTCACATCAGTGCTACCTATAGACTGAGACCGACTGCCTAACCGAGGTGCTGAAGCAATAATACCACAGCTGGGCAGAACATAGTCTGTCTGCCCTACATTCTCTAAAGAGTCAGAGAACTGCTGGTCGTCATCAGACTTGGAATTTGTAAGGAAGTCATCGGAGTGGAACGAGTCGTTATCTGATGATATCTCGATATCTGATTCAACGCGGAGTTTAGGATCTGTCACTGGATTTTCCAAAGTTTCAAGGCTACTGTCTGATTTCCAAAGACTAACTTTCAAGTTTGGTTTTAGGAAGTTGACTTTCATTTCAGGCTTGGTAAAGTTTCCTAACTTCCGAAGATTTCCAATATTTACATTGGACTTGGTTTGTTTCACTTTCTGATTAAGAGATGAAAACTTGCTCATTAAGTAATTCTTGCCTTGGGCCAGAGATCCTCTGTTTTGGGATCTAATACCAATGATGTCTTCATGAGGTTTACTGCTCTTCCTGCAAAATTAAAGAGAAGATCATTTCTTCTACTGTGCACTTAATCAAGCAGGTGTAAATTATTGCGATCTGGAAGCACATCACATCAACGAGTGCTGTTTGAACTTATTAAATGCAAATACGAGCAAATGAAACAATGTGTAGAACCATTATGAAAGGTGATTTTTGATTGCTTGATGACATAACCAAATTAAACCAGAACAGAACTAATGTTGTGGCAACGGTTTTTCTGCTAATATTAAACAGCAAACATTTACTTCAGAGACCAATAGTTTTGGTTAAATTATGATACAGTAATTTAATACACTCCCTACCACACAGAAATACTGACTTTTTGGATCCTGAAATTATTTTCTATACTGCCTCAAAACTTTCATTGTCTGTCTGGTTTTATTTGAAGCCAAGTTATCAGATAATTCTTAACTATCTATGATTACAGCATACCGAAGCTTAGAAACAGCCTAAGAGTTGGTCTAGGAAAACCTTTTCTTCCTGTCTGTCCAGTACACAAGCAATTGCTTATGTTAGTTTCCTCCTGTGTTGCCCCATCACACTTAGCAAAATGCAACTTCCTAACATGATGAATAAAAACTTAGAGACCAATACCCACCACTCCAGAAGTCCATATAAGCAGTATGTTCTCTAACCTCAGGCTGATCTCTACCTTGAAACAGTATGACCCATTTACCTTCCTTCTCCATGAAAGCACAGCAGTTTTGATACTGATCAGAGCTACAGATCAACCAAGTCCAGTATCTTATCTGCCCAGTGTTTCAGAGGAAAGTATAAAGAAACCCTGTAGTGAACAGTTATTGAGTAACCTGTCTATGAGGCAAGTAGCTTTTCAACCCCTCCTACTAAAGTTGATTAAGTCTGAAAGGTACATGGGAAGTTGAGAAACTGGTAAAAACACAAGTGGTGAAGATTAGCGTTTCATTATACAATAGGGCTGTGTGAAGCTTCGGTCCCTGATTCAATTCGGCCCAATTCCGTGGCCAAATCTCCAAATCAAATCAGGAGACCCTTTAATCTCTCGAAATTACATTGGAACCCTCTGAATCGATTCAGAGAGATTCGGCGATTCAGACAGACACAGCTTTAAATGTTTTTTCTACATACCTCAAGGTAGCAGGCACTCGTCAACACTGTGATGGAGTGACCCACAAGAGCACAGGGGGCTCCCCAGTGTGCTCAGCAGCAGACCTGGAAGTGGACCAGAAGCACTTCCTGGTCCTCCGGGAAGCATGCAGCCCCCCCGGCTTGGCAACTGGTGCCTCCTGTCTGGGGTGGCACCTGGGGTCCTCCCATGGCCAATCACCAAGCCAGGGAACATGGGGCAGGGGGCCCCCAGCACACTCCCCAGCAGACCTGGAAGTACTTCAGGTCCACTTCTGGGTTCACCACCAAGCACACGGGAGGCCCCCTCTGTGGTCCTGCGGGACGCTCCATCCACTCCAGCACTGCAGCATTCACAAGCTGCGTCTGGTACCTCAAGGTATGTAGAAAAAAAATATTTAAAACTCTGTCCATGGTTGAATCGCTGTTCCTCCCAATCGGCATCAAATCTTCAGATTCGGATTCAGCCGAATCGAATCGGGGATAGCGATCTGAATCAACAAATCGAATCGTTGTCCCCGATTCTGGCCAAAACCAAATCCAAATCTAATACAGCCCATTTCGCACACCCCTATTATACAACTAATAAGACCTCAAAAACAAGCATGCTTTAAGCATTTACCTGGGGAATAAAGATACTGGGGTAACAGACTGCGGAAAAAACATGGAAGTTACAAGAAATATTTGTTCATCTCCATCCCCACGAAAAAGTATGTTAGCTTTACTCATTTAAGTTGTTTTCACTTTTTGACATTTATAACTTCTTAGCAGTTCATCTATACCAAATACAAATACCCTGCAACCTACTACATGCAAATCGTCTCTACTCGAGTGAACCTGAATTCTGACCTTGCTAAGCACTGCACTTTTCTAAAGTATTTACATCACTATACTCAGTCTCTAACCTTTCTGAAGAAATTCTTAATGAAGTACCATCTGTGAGCAGCTGATATGAAACCTCATGCTTTCTTCCAGCGTAATAGTCCCTTGAATATAACAAAAAGAGTTCAAGAACACTTAATACATTTTTGGCAATCCAACCCCCTCTTCATCTATCAACATCTATTTTGTGACAAAATGATAGCCCAAATGCAGGGTACAGTTAACAAATCCAACACTTGGATATTTAAAAGTTTGACTTGATGGAGTAAGTCTCCACCTGCAGTCTCGCCCCTCTGTGGGGTGCTATTTACAAATGTTTCTGCCATCTGAGCTGTAATGTAGCACAGCTACATTTTCAGCTACGATAACAACTGATGATATAGCATTTTAATATTTCTGCTTTCAAAAAAGCAAGACAAAAACCCCATCTAATTTGTTTAGAATATTAAATCACCAAGTATCAGTACTATGAAATCCATCATCCTGATACTTTAAGCGATCAATATGCCTTCTACAATAGGCAAGATTTGTCCTCTTGCAAACATTTCTATCTTCTCTTTTTCTCTACTCCTAATCAAAGGGACTCTTATGAGCTTATCCCCTGACCTCATGTGTCCCCAAATCCAATTATTCAGTTCTTTTAACTTTTCAGGTGTCCCTTTGTTTTTGGTTTGTTTGGGTTTTTGTAAGCCCTGTTTAATAAGGCTGTACCATTACAGCTATAATTTTTAAGGCACAGAAAGAATTTGAACTGCATGGCTTCCAAAAGAACTGTAAAAAGGAGAGCTATATTTGCTATAAAAGTAGTCTTTAATTTCCCAATTTGTTCTTTTAAAATTTTAGGTTTCATTCTATAAAACCTCATTTCTTTGCAGTTAACCATGAACAGTTCTGGATAGTCTGCAAGGTTAATAGTCCCCAAACAGAAGTACTGATTAACTCACAAAAATAATAGACTTGATGCCACACTGCCATCTTCTTTTAGGCTGAGCCAATATCAACATGTTTCTCTAATGTCACACAACTACATTTGTCCTAGGTAGCAAGCAAAAGGAACAATGACCTGGAGCTAGTAACAGCCACACTCTAGAGATAATGTAGAGACATGACAACATCATTTATTTGGTTTCTGTAGGTTGCCTTTCTGCTGAGTTGTCTTAAGTTTGTTTTCAAGCACAAAGGCACTCTGAAAGTACATTTAAAATTCACCTTCTTAAACAGCTTCATTTTGTCATCTTTTATCTTGTTAAAATTTGGCCATTTTTTAGTACAACACTGGTAGCTATTCTTGCTTATTAAAGCAGTGTGAAATAAATATATGTCCATTCAAACAAGGCAGACATCCTTGAAACTAGAATTTTTGTCTTGATGGTTTCTTCAGATATAAAAGAGAAAATAGCATGCTACATATGCAGAGTATATATGCATCTTCAGACTGTCTTCACGTGCGGAGTTTGGAAGTATCAACTTTCCAGTAGATAGCATCAAATATGACACACGGCCCAAGGACAGCCCCTTGATCGTTCAAAGGATGAACAGTGCAAACAAAGAGTTACTGATCCTGAAGTAGTATAAAAATTGATTGTAAAAGTGTCCATTCCATTTCCCCCAATACCATTTTTAACGTTCTCTTCTGCTTAAGCCTTCTGTTCAACCTGCTTCTTCATGCTTGAGCTGCATTTGGAAGCAGTTTCTCCATCCATACACTAGTATGTATGTGAAGCCAGATTCAGCAGACACCTTCCCAGAGAAGATTTCTGAAGGTTTTGTCAGATGGCAGCGGCCTCCCAGGACTTTCATACAGAATACCTAATGGGGCAATGGTTTTTACAGTGTACTGCTCTTCACTATTTCGCTTCAAAGTGCCAGATGAAAACACTGGTCTTGAAGGCAACACCCCAAGAATCAAAGACAATTAGCATAAGCACTGACACCGAACGCTCTTGCTAAGCCTAATGACATGGCACAATACAGCTCTGGGCAGGTATACTTAAGCTACTTTGGATCTAACTGCACTAGCACGCCACTGCACATATGTTAATAATCCCTGTTTCTCAGCAAGGCTGATCAGCCCAGACAGACCACGCTAACATGGTTTCACTGCTTCCATTATTCAAGCCAAGTCATTCAAAGCAAACTCAGGTATCTCTGAATGGTCCAGTGTTGTGCCAAGTAGACATATCCTTAGCATACTTCAGCACATCACTTTAAGGTGTCTTCCATTTTGGTTGGTTTGAGGTCTCTTGAAATCAGTGACTCCCCCACCCCAGCTCAGGCAATGTCCAATCTATCTGATAAGGTGACCTAAGAAATACTCCTACCACATATGCAGCAGTTCCAATCTAGTATTTTCTTGTTTAAAGCCATAAAGTAAAGCAGAGGTCAGCAACCTATGGCCCGTGGGCCGGATCCAGCCCATGAAACCTTTGGATCAGACCTACAAACATGTGGCTTCAGCGGTATTCAGCAGAAGGGCATCTGCTCATGCTGCCATAGGACAAATGCCAGCGATGGACACTCTCCCTGTGCAGCCAGGGAGACTAGCAGTGGCACCAGCAGGGTCCGAGCACCTGCCCATCTCCAACCTGGGGTGGGTCATTCCAGCCCACAGCCGAAAAGGCTGCCTGCCCCTGGGGCAGAGAACCAAGAGCATCTCATTTCACAGGTTGTGGCTTCCTACTATAGTACTGATGGGCAAGCATTACGTTAAAGCAACTTCGCACATGCTACTGTCACAAAATAAGACGGTACAGCACTGTATTTAACTTTGGTCATTAAGATGGCAGCATAGCACCAGCTTCAAGATGGGTTCCTATCTTTTTAAAAGCAGCCCACTTCCAGCCTCCAGCATTTAAGCAGCTGTGATTCAGAGGTTGTACTCCAAACTCCCACACTCAATAGCTACTGATGCACTTTTCCTCCAAGAATCTGTCCAATCTCTTTTTGAACCTGGCCAAATTGTCAGCTTCCACAGCATGTGGTGGCAATGAGGTTCCATGTTTTCATTAGGTGCTTTGTGAAAAAAAATGTCCTTTGGTTATTTCTAAACTTACTACCTACTGATTTTATTTTATGACCCCTACTTCTTGTTCTGCAAAAAATGTAAGATCTGTAGGGACCTTAACAGAGAAGCAGTTGCCATCTTGAACTACTTTTCATTGGTATACCTTTAGAGAGACAGAAAAAACAGGTTTTGAAAGCTACACAGAACTGATGGAGGAGGTAAAACAGTATACCGTTGCTGTGAGTGCCCCTTGGCACACTTGTCTTCCTGCCGCTAAGAAAGAAGTTATTTAAATAAGTGGTTTGGGGATTCATGTCACAAAAAAACCAAAAAAAACCACACTCACCTCTCTAGCTTCTTCTCAATAATGGGCACATCTAATCCCATGGCTTGCTTCGTGATTCGCAGCATCTCTGCAATGCACTGAAGGGTGTCTGAAATCCAATTAGCAGCCTGTCAGAGTATCCTAAACAAACTTTTAAAATCCCATATTCTAGCAAGTCTAATTTTAGAGGCTCTTTGTCACTTAATTAAAGCAAATTAAATGACCTCCTTTTTAACCCTTAGCAAATCACAACTTTAAGAGTCCAAGTAAAGGCTACAGTTGATGTAGATCAGCCTCCTCCCTCCCCAGGGCCTCATGCTCTCTGCATTCAGATAGGAATCACTGTTGGCTCAACGTCTGGGGAAAATGGTATGGATCAAATCAAATGCTGATAGGACTTATTATAATTGTTGTTAACATACAATGCAAGGTTACTGCTAGGAAGCAAGACTTTCTGCTGTTAAGTGTTTTATTATCTAGGTTAAACAAATACAGTACCAAGCATTTTAGTCACAAATTACACTGACTTATATCCATACCTGTCAGCCACTGTGACCTTGTTTAAATGCATCCTGCCCCAACCATCAATAGAACTCAATCTATCCAGATACTAGAAAGAAATACACTATTTTAAAGCTAACCAAATGTGAATTAACATCTTTCACTGAAAAAGTGAACAGCTGAGTAACTATCCAGTCAGTCTCTTTCAGATATGTTCTCTCTTTCCATATCTAGAATGGGGCCATAATGAAAATCACCTTTTTTTAAATAAAAAGCTCCAAAACCATGGTTAAGCATCATTGTATTAGCACACTGAAAACAATACAAACATTTTGTACCTTTTCCATCTTCTTCAGGGTTGCGCATGACAGCTCGGAGGGTATGAAAATAGCCACTTGTTTCTTTGTATCTGTAGTGCAACCTCATGCAAGAAAACTTGGGTTTTCCAAAAAGAGTAGGTTCAGGACCTGAAAGAAAAGCCACGCCTCCACATTTTAGGAAGGTGAGGCTCATTTTTTTCATGAGTTAACAGAACAACTATTGCAACACTGTCAGCAATAACCTTCACTTGGTATAAAAATGAAAAAACACACCATTTTCTGCATATGTTCCCTAGATCTGTACATGCCGCCTCCTATGTATGCTCATGGCAGTTGCTGTATGTGTGTCTGTTTGCTTTTTGAAGTTCCTGGGTGGCAACCTGGGCCTCTAGAATAAAACTGCAAGTAGCAGCTAAATGCACATCTTACTTGTCTATTCCTAAGTGTTGTGATTATCTGCAGGATGGAATCTAGAGTTTTTGGCAGAGGATACCACTGGCCTAAATGTATCTGTTGTCTCAGCTAAACCAAGAAAAACACTCCAAATATTGCAAAAGATCTTTCTTTTTGTGGTTCTCCAGAGAATAAATCAGTGGACTTTATAGCAGGATGGATGTCGTCCCCTGGACTCAACAGAAATCCTGTATTTGGCTTTCATTCATCACTTCAACTTCAATGTAGAGGCAGACTACAACATGAAGAAAATATATTATTTTGTATTAATGGCTTGGCCCTCCACCTTTTTCTCTGGGAGGATACCAGTTGCCATCTGTCTTGATTGAGTCTCTGTTGTTTGGGCCATTAATACAAAATAATATATTTTCTTCATGTTGTAGTCTGCCTCTACATTGAAGCTGAAGTGATAAATGAAAGCCAAATACAGGATTTCTGTTAAGTCCAGGGGACTACATTGATCCTGCTATAAAAGTCCACTGATTTATTCTCTGGAGAACCACAAAAAGAAAGATCTTTTGCAATATTTGAAGTGTTTTTATTGGCTTAGCTGAGACGACAGATACATTTAGACCAGTGACATCCTCTGCAAATGCACTAGACTCCATCCTGCAGATAATCACAACACTTAGGAGTAGCCAACTAAGATGCTCATTTAGCTGCTACTTGCAGTTTTATTCTAGAGGCCCAAATTGCCACCTAGGAACTTCAGAAAGCAAACAAATAATAAAGTGATGAGTTGGTAATACTATATGTAGAGCTCAAAACAGATCTTCATCTCTATAAAACTTAATTCTTGACATGCCTGATGATTAACACTATCCAGCAAGTACTCTTAAAAAGGTGTTTCTGCCAGTCTGAAAGAGCTGAATTCTAGCAACATTCTCCTTTAAAATGGAAAGAATCTCTTTCAACTGTTAAAATCTCTGAGAGGAAAGAAAATATAGTCACAAACACTGTATTGCAATTCATCATCAGACGACAAAATAAAGGATACCAGAGAATACACATCCACTTAACCTCTACAAAAAGAGACATCTATTTACTAGACCTGTCTAAATGATGACAGACGATGATATTTTGGAAACTTTTTTCTAAGTGGATGTGACTGATCATGGATCACACTTTGATTTGATTCAGATATTTAACTGCTGCAATAATTTCACAAAAGCTGATTATTAAATTGGTTCCAAAAAGGCTCCAAAAACATATCAAAAGGCTTCCTATACTGAGCAGCATTATGTGAGCTAACTGGAGACAGAAAAGTGGAAAACATGGCTGTTGAAAGCATTAAAGGCATTTGAAATGTGATCTCAGACTACCAAAGCTGGAGAACAGGTAAGGTGGTGAGGCGATATCAAGCAAACTGCCCCCATCCCCTGCCCACACTTATCACCCCCTGCTGGCTGCTCCCCACTTCCCTTCCCGCATCCCCCACCACTACTGCCTTGGGTTTCCTGCTGCCCCACAACACTCCCCCTGCCCACTGTATTCATAGCATGGTTTAGCAACAAGTACAAATAACTACTACACCAAGCAGTAGACAGGGATAGTATGGAATGCGGTACAATGACTTTTTAGTCTTACCTATTTCAATTTTCTCCAATGCCTCAAGGCTTAATCTTTGATACTGATTTACTTTGTCAACTTCATCGTCATAACTAGACAGAGGAAGGAAGCAAAACAAAGTCAAGTGTCCAAAGTTGTATCTATTTACTCACAGCTAAAAACCACTTACCATGCAAGGATAAGCTGTAAGAGTATGACAACTCTTCATATAAATTGGATACGTTTATTAATAAACATACAGCGCATGAAAAATTAAAGAAAATATAATTAATGACTCACTAGGCCACATAGTAGGCAGAATTTGAAAGCAGCAACAGAACATCCACATCCTTGTGGGTAGCATCAATGAGACTAAAGGAAAGGAGGAGAAAACAGATGTACAAGTTTTTTCTTTTTACAATACAGCTACAGTTGCTACAAAACAATACATCTTGCTGGTGTGTCAAAAATGTGGGGGGTTTTATTAAAAAATAAGGGTTTTTGTGAGTTCTCTCTAATGGAACCAACTGCCTGGCTGAGATCGAATTTGATAAACTTTCAAATGTAGGTGGCCTGAAGACTGCCCTGCATTCATTCATAAACTTATGTCATGACCCAAAAGGCATGATTGTGTGTGTGCGCTTCGGCATCAGAATTATCCACGTTAAGTTGCAGAGCATTGCACGGGAGTTTCCTGTAGCAAGAGGAAACTCCGGTGCAGGGACCAGTTTCCCACCTTTTCTGCAGCTTCTTTTGCAGAGTGCATTGCTCGAGTTGCAAGAGGAATGCACAGTGCAAAAGAGTTCCCGCCACCGGTATGCAAATTTGTTCCCCATGATTGGCTAGTGCTAAATTATTCACACGTGGCGGCTAGCGATTGGCCTGTTAGCCGTATAAGAGGCTTGAGTAGTTTCCGCCCAAGCCGAAGAGGACTCCACATCCATCTCGTGGGGACTCTGGGTACACGGCAGGGTAATAGAAACCCTGTGTGAGATCCAGAGGAGCGTGGCGGCCTGATCCACCACCCACCTCTTCCCGTCTTCGAGCGCGACTAATATAAGACGTATTTACGATTTCTACATTGATGGCCTGTTCACCCAGAGCATCCGGAGCTCTGCACCGTGGAGCCTAGCAACCTCCACGAGACCGTCTGTGTTGTGTCTGTCTGTAACTGCAACTTAATCAAGCTTTCCAGCCTACACCACTGCCATCTCGGTGTAAGTAAACAATCTTTTAAACTACCGATACGCATCCGTGCCTAATTCCAGAGCGAAGGCCTTCCCTCCCCGCCCCCGCGTGCCCGGGCTGCTGGCCACAGCC